GTCGATCCTTGCACACTGCCTGGCCATCCTGGATCGCGGGAACCCCGCGCCCCGACGGTACGCGCGCTGCCGCCGTGGCGCCCGCTCCTCCTGAGCGATCCGGCACCCCGGCTCCGCCCGGCTGGCAGGGCCCGCGCCGCAGCGTCCCGATTGCACACACAGGAGCCCATTCTTCCCGGCTCCGCGCAACCATATGGCAAATCCGCGTCGACCAGCAGCCCCCGCTCATTCAGGCGCAGAATGTCCCGCAACAGGGAACAATCACAACTCTGTTCGCATCTATTATGGATGCGAACGGGGCGAGAAAAAAAAAATCATTTAACTCCAAGAGATAGCCAGCTAATTACCAACCATATGTGAGCCCGGATTCAAAGCGATGCCGAGGAGTTCATTCGGAGTCAGGGCGACTTTATTAGGTATAGAAGACAGATGTCCCGACAGCCCACGCATCACAGAAAATCGTGTCGGGGAGTTCTTGAAATGTCCGGGAGAGCTCTTTAAATATTAAAGACCCAGCCCTGCTGATGGACTGGGCCGGGGTCCTCTGGGATCCCCAGGCCCCAGGAGCAGGACTTCGAAACAGCGACTCTGGCAGACGCTAGCCTGGCTGGCCCAGGGAGGGGGTCCCTCCTCCCTTCCTCCTCCCTTCCAGACTCAGAGGCCTGCAGCTCAGGTGCTCTGGGACTGGGACAGGAACAAAGAGACCTCCAGCTCCCATTGGCAGCCTGGTACGCTTTATGGTACCTCCAAAAGCCAGAGGGTGGCCCTGTTAGGGCATCCAGTCTCTGGTTTGCCCCCAAGGAGGGAACTGAGGACACTACCTTTGGGAGTGTCTGGTTACACCAACCCTGCCCGAGGCTCCTTCGTTGTGTATACAGTAGGTCTTCCGCTGCAGTTTATGGAATGAGTGAATCAGTGAATGAATGAATGAGCCAGTGTGGCAGCCAACCCAACTATGAAAATCCCTTGGGGGGTGGGCGGGATTGGGGACTATACGGGAAGGAAAACACTCCTGATTTCTTTACCAAGAAAATAGCCCCTGGCCATGAGCCTCTGCTTCTTTGAGGAAGGAAAACGAGAAAGCTCGTTAGAGAGAGAGAGAAAAATCTTTCTCTGTTTTCCATGCAATGCAATTATGTTCCAGCTTTTTCTCCTTGTTATTCTTTTAAGCCAAATGTCTGAATAAAAGGATTATTCGCCCGCCCTCCCCCCCAGGACTGACTGTGCCTCTGTTAGCAGACGGGGGCCACCGCTGGCTAGATTAACTGCAGCCCATGGCTTCCGTATTTCTTCTATGAAAATAAGTGAGGTCAGCTGCCATTCAATTGTTGCAGCATATATATTTGAAAATTTAAATATTTGAATCAAAGGAAAAAGGGGGATTTGCATTTCTGCTCAACGCGACAAGCGCGTTCCGTGAACACCGCACAATGGCAACGTTTCAATCGGAATGAATTGTCTCCTCACAGGAGGATTCTGTATAAAGGCAGCCAGTGCTTTCTCTTTTGTTTCTTCTGCTTTTGTTTTGTGTTGTGTTTTTCTTTCCTCTTACCCGCTCCAATCCAGGAGGGTGTTTTCTGAAACTTGGTGGCTGACTTTGGTTTTGAGGACATAAAGAAACATGGAAAAACTCCCAAGAAACATTCACATCAGAGGCCTCTCTCTGGCACAAAAGCAAAATTTAATTGAACATGTGCGGGTGAAAAAATAGATATGGGGGGATTCTCGGTGCCACTGAGAGTGGGCTAGTCGCTTGGCTCCAGCTGGTCTGGATGAGGCTGTTGAATGTTGAAGAAGGCCCTGGTGAGCGGTAAGCAGGACGGAGGTTGGATGGCCGCGAAGCCCCAGGCATAGGCCTGGACCTTCAGAAGGGTGTTGAGTCTCCAGGACACCAAGCCTTCCCAGCTACCCAAGCTGGCCAGATCCAAATGCCCATTGTCTCCAGTCAGCATTAGGGACACACAGATGGTGACTCTGCACATGGCTTTGATGCCTTGGCCTTGGAAAACGGGCATTTCTGAGGGATGTGTCCCTAGGTGTAGGGATGATGTTTCTAAAGGAAACTAGCTAGGAGTCAGCTTAAGGCATTAAGTCAGGAAAGGTCACTAAGCCCAGGGCCTGTGGGGGTGCTTGCTGCTCTGGAGGTCTGGGGCATGATTTCTTGCCCCATGTTGGCTGTGCGGGCCAGGACACATGTCAGATGTTGACAGATGTCTTCTCTGCCTGGAGCTGGGTTGGGGTGGATGCTGGGTGCCTCACCGTCCTGAAGGCTAGGCGTCCAAGTCGAGGTATTGGCAAGGTTGCTTTCCTCCGAGGCCTCTCCTTGGTGTGTAGATGACCTCTTTTCTTGTCCTCGCATGGTTGTCTCCATGTGTGTCTGCATCCTAATTTCTGCTTTTTTTCTTCTTTTATGTTTGCCAGAAGGTGCATGCGCTTACCAGAAAGTGAGCAAGGGAAAGTCACCCAATGGGGTGTGGTCACGTTGCAATCCCTTCTACTCCATTTCTTCTTCTTATTGAGATTTGGGGCATCCACTCATACCTGGTGTGTTTCCCAAGCTGCTGTGGCTGGGATTTGAACTGCATAAACAGCCATGTGGGATCCAGTTCCCTTAGTCACTAGGCCATAGGACTGGCCCATCTCTTCTTATAAGAACATCAGTCATCTCAGATTACAACCCATCCATCTGACCTCATTTTAACTTAGTTACCTCTAGAAAAACCCTATCTGAAATACCGTCATAGCCTGAAGTGATGGAGGTTGGGGCTCCAGGATCTCCCGTATATACCTTTAAGGGGGCACAATTTAGTCCATAATGCCGCAGACGCAGACGCAGGGCTTCCCATCCTGTGGCTCGGGATGCTCAACGGTGTGATCTTCGCTGGGGATCTGGCTCAGTGGGAGAGCTGGGGATGGATGGGAAGGTAGGGCGGTGCTTTCCTGAGGCTGGGGTTGACTTGATGATTGAAGTTCATGACTAACACAGGCTCCAGGGTCTTCTACGTTTCAGAGAGGCTTCAGCTGGCATTTGGGAACACTGGTCCTTCCAAACCCACCCCTCACCTCCCGTTTGGGCTTGAGATTCTCCTTAGGGGATGAGAGTCCAGAAGTGGAAGCTGTCTCGTGGCTCTCCCACCCCCTCACTCACTCGGAATTGAAGCTCCTTTGGAACTGGCCTTGTTCTGGGGACTCTGGGAGGAAAAGCTGGCGGGCACCCTCCAGGGGCTAGTTTCCCGTCAAGGGCTCTGCACGCTGCTCTCCAGACCCGGTGACCTGTGCTGTTTACTCTCCTTGTTTTGATTTCTTGCAATTGCCCCTGGCCTTCCCTTCCTTTTTACTCTCTTCTCTCGTTCTTGCCTTTTCTTCTCCTTCCGTTCCTTGCCTCTCAACAAATTCCTAAGACCCAATAAAAGCCTAGTGGGTGCGGAAAAGTTAGGTAAACGCCACAGCTCTACAGGATGACCTGGGGCGCAAGCCTAGACATCTATTCTTGCGTCAGCTACTCTGTGGCTGTGTGATGAAGGTAGGCTGGTTGACCTCTCTGAGTCTTGTTTTATGGCAAGCAAAATGCTGAGCTGTCTCTTGGACAGAGTGAGAAGAAGCTAATGAAATGGCTGAAAAAACACTCCAGGCATTTAAAAAATGTCACGTAATTGCAAAATAATAACGATAACAACAATATACTTTGGAATTTTGCTGAACCAAGAGCAGGCTTGAGTGGAATTTGGCACCAAGTGGGTCTGCCCTGGCTCCTTTCCAAGGGGGTTTAGTTACCGAGGCACCCCCAGGACTCCATTCTGAGGTGGTCTCTCTTATAAGGTGGTCCTGACCCTGGACTCTGCTCTAGCCTAGGCTGGGGCCGGGGCCCCCCACTGGCTGGGGGCCAGCTCAGAGCATTGTTGTCCCAACCTCTAGGTTGTATGGCTGGCAAACCAATGGTGGTTTCTATTTTTTTTTTTTTTAATGCCCCAAATGAAAAAAAACCTTATCATTTCCTCAATAGTAGAAATGCAAATAATACAGAAATGTATAAAAAAGAAAGTAGACTTGGCCATAGGCACAGGTGGTTGGGCACCACTCTCTGAGGCTGGGCCACATAGGAGGCCTGGGTCCGGATGTCGGATCAACCTGAATGCATCATGTGAACAGTAGCGCGTGCCTGTAATCCTAACTAACTGGGAGGCTCAGGCAGAGGATTGGAACTGCAAGACCATGTCAAAAGTACCTGTCTCTCTTTCTCCTTTCTCTTCCCCCTGTGTGGGTGCTCTCTAAAGAAAGGAAGAAAAGAAAAAATGGAGGAAGAGAGAAAGAGAAGAAAGAAAACATTTCCTGAGATGGATTTCCTCAAGATTCTGGGAATGCATGCACGCACCCAGCGTATTTGCAAGTGGACTTTGGGATCTGAACCCATGACCAGCCATATGGCTTCCAGCCTCACAGTGCAAATGTATTACTGCTGCAACACAGTGACTGGGTCCACATTTACTTTTCTGGTCCAAGTACATATTTTAAAGCTTTAGAAAGCACACAAACACACACATTGTTGTACTTGAAAATATTTGGCCATAATGAAAGGGTTCAGAGACCCATAATATGAGCATAATAAAGTAACAGATACACAGTTGGGAAGAGTGTTCAGTGCAAGTGGCTGGTGATTGTACTAACATTGGAGAAGACAGCTTATGTCTGAGTGGTGCCTTTTATTTATTTATTTATTTTGCATAGGGTGTGTGTGCTCACTGGAGAGAGACACAGAGAGAGGGAAAGTGAGAAAGCACTCCCCAGGAGGATGATCATGCCACAATCCCTTCTCCTCCATTCTCCTCTAAGATCCTGGGTATATACCCACCCACGGCTGGCATGATTTTTAAGCCACTGGGTCTGGGACTCAAACTGTAGTTGACCATGTGGGAGTTCAGTGCCTTAACCATCATGCCACCAGCTGGCCCCTCTAAGTGGCTTTTAAAAAATTAATTAAGTAATTATTGGGCTAGCAGATGCTGTCGAGTTTAAGGTATTGGATCCTACATGGCCAGCTTCACTGTTTGAGTCTCAGACCCAGTTGGTTTATGGCTTGAGAATCATGCTGCCCATGTGCGCATGTGCATGCATGCCCAAAATCATGAGAGGAGAGTGAGAGACGGGACTATGGCATGACCATCCTTCCCGGGGGATGATTTCTTACTTTTCTTCCCTTTCCTGCTGTCTCTGGCAAACACATGTGACTTAATAACAAAAACTAAAGGGGCCTGGCAGGTGGCATGATGGTTAAGGCGCTGGACACTCCCACATGGCCGACCACAGTTTGAGTCCTGGATCTGGAGGCTTGCTTTCTCACTTTCCCTTTCTCTCTCTGTGTGTGTCTATGGTTGTCTGTGTCTCTCTCTGGTCAAATCAGTATAAATGAATGAATAAATAAAATTAAATAAATAATTCTTTAAAAAGTGTATTTATTTACAAACATTTGCTAGAGGGTATGTGTGCTCACCAGAGACAGAGAGGGAGAAAGAGAGATAGAGAGAGCACCACCCCTATGGGACATGGCCACGCTGAAATCTTTTCTCCATTTCTCTCTATGTCAGGATTTTGGGGATGCACACACACACACACACATACCTGGTATGTTTCTCAAGTTGCCAGGTCAAGATTCCAACTACACGGTTGTCCCCACAGGTTACAGGATTTGGAAGATGCTGTCACTGAGAAGTGGCAGCATGAGGACAAGAAAAGTGCAAATGCTCTCAAGAGATAACGCGTGGGGGACCAACAGTTAGCGTAATGGCTATATTGCTGGACTCCCACGTAGTCGACTGTGGTTCGAGTCCTGGACCCGGTGGCTTAAACTCACGCTAGGCGCGTGTGCGTGCATGCCCAAGATCCTGAGAGGAGAATGGAGGAGAAGGGATTGCAACATGGCCATCCCCTCTGGGGGGTGATTTCTCGCTTTCTCTCTCTCTGTCTCTCTCTCTCTGTCTGGCGAGCACATGCGCCCTGTAGCAAAAACCTCTCCAAAAAAGGAAAAAGAAAAAAAAGAGAGAACGCATGGGTGCAGATGAAACCAAAGCAGTGGGTCCAGTGTGCCAGCAAGGCCCAGACCAGGCTGCTTGTCCCAGGATAAGCTGTCCATGGACATGAGTAGGTTTCCAGGGAGGAAGATGGAGGCCTCTGATTAATAAAGGGGCTTCAGGGGGTTAGGGCCAAGAGATGTTTGTTACAAATGGGTGTAAAAAACCCCATTTGAGCTATTTCCTGGAAAGAAAAGAAAGGAGAGGTCTGAGGGGCACCTGTTATCTCCACATTACTAGGAAATGGTTTCCATCCCGTGACCGTGGAAACTGCCATGTGCATCCTGGCCGTGTGTTTCCTATGAGCCGCCCCCTGCCCACAGTGCGTCACTGTGTTGGCACAGACCGGGCAGTGCCCTGCAGGATGGACACTGAGGGCTGGCTGAGCCCTTGGGCCTTGACCTGAGTATCTGCTGGAGCCCCTGTGAGGTTCCCCAGATGGGCCCTGAGTTCCAGGTGTGGTGCTAGCCGGGCCCTGGGCTGGGCACCCCGAGGGGAAGGTGGATAGAGGCTCCCTTCAAGGAGCATCTGCTCATCAGAGGAGCCAAGTGAGGGAGGTGTAGCCCAGGGAAGAGAGCAAGGTTCCTGAGGACTGGCCCCCAGGAGGGCAGCAAGGAGGAGGTGCAGTGGAGAGCCAACAGCAAGGTGCTCTGGGCAGAGGGCTCGGCCTGGGCAGGCTGCAGCAGGGTGGGGCTAGACGGCAGGCACTGTAGCTGAAGCGGAGAAGTGTGAGAACTTGAAAGCCATGGCAGGGCCCCAGGACAAGCTCGTGTACTTGCACGAGATTCACGTCAGTTCTCTTCAGACCTGGTGGATGCATAGGCAGAAGGATCCTTCTATGGTGGCTGGACAGCCTTCTGTCTGAGCAAATGACAAGAATGAAACAAAATCTCCAGAACAAATGATCCCCTCTTCTCTCTCTCTTTTAATTTTCAGAGGGTACGTGCACTTTCCAGAGAGAGGCCAAGCAAAGGAGAGGGGACCGCACCTCTCAATGGGGCATGGTCATGCCTCAATCCCTTCTTCATTTCCTCATCTTGTCGGAATTTGGGGCACTCACTTGCATGCACTGGGCATGTTTTTCAAACCACCAGGGCTGGAATTCAGACTGTGGTAGGCCATGTGGAATCTGGCTCCCTTAACCATAAGGTTATGGGGCCACCCCTCCCCCCGTTTTCTCCTAGCTCCCCCTCTCCCCTTATTTTTTGCTCTAGACAGTTTATGTGCTCATGAGAGAGACAGAGAAGGAGAGGAGAAAGCACTCCCCGTGGGAAATCCCTTCTCTGTCTCTGTTTCTGGGATTTGGGCATGTGCACACATGTGTTTGGTGTGTCTCCAAAGCTGGGATGCCGCTACCTAACCAGCAGTCATGGAGTTGCCCTCTACTGGCCCCCTCTCCTTTAATGGTCTGTTGGCTGGGCTGTGTGTTGGGAGATCACTCACCCAGAGAATGCTGCCTCTGCTGCCTGGCTGCCCGGCTTGCCATGGACTGAGTTCTCCCTCTCCAGTCAGTCTGTGGTTGAAATGTTGCTAGCACAGGGGGCACATCACAAAGGGACCGCCCCCATTATTCTCTCATTCTTGTTCTCATTCGTTCTGTCTAGATACTCCTCCTCTCTCCTGCCCCAGCCCCACTTTACTGCCCATCCCTGTCTATTGGTGTAGACTTGAGTCAGTTCTGAGCCAGCTCTGGGCACACAGTCTCTGTGGGCACCCAAGGGTCTTCCTTGGGCCTTTGGGCCAGAGGCCTGGGCTGCAGCCCTTGGCTGCTTCTGGGGTTGGATCTGGAGGTGGTGTGGGCCGTGGGGTGGTGGGGATGATTCCCAAGACAGTGCTGGCCCTGGCCTGCCCCACTTCTGTGCCCAGCCCAACCTGGAAATCTGTTGAGGTCTTGAAAGGTGGAGGCTGGTGGTGCGGGGCAGGGTGACTGCTCCTTCTGGAGGATGAACCTTCCGAGGACCCTGGGCTCCAGTTAAGGAAGCCCTGAGTCAGCCATGGCTTACGGACGTCTCAGAAGCTGGGAGATGGGGCTAAGGCTCCTCTGGGGCAGGGGGTCCGGGAGCCACCCCCTGTT